ATTTTACCGTGGAGTCATCGGATTGCTTGATTTATAGAGTCATTCATAGGTATTCACAAATGATGTATTGACACGTATACTGTAATAATTGCATATTGAACATGTGTCAGTACATAAAGTAACGAAGGACTCCATTTTGCCGTGGAGCCATCGGATTGCTTGGTTTATGGAGTCATCCATATGTATTCACAAATGATGTATTAACACGTGTACTGTAATAATTGCACATTGAACATGTGTCAGTACATAAGAGCATCTCCAATGTGGCTTTTGACATTATAAAAATCCATCCATATCATCAACATTTGAAAGTGTATTACTAAATTGTTCTCCAATGCATCTTGTCATGAGCTCTTTCATGATGATGTGGATAGCAATTAATGTTGACAATGTTGAGCACACTTTCTAATATCTAACACGATGTTAAACATTCAATTCACTTTATAATTAATTTATTTTTTATTATTCTTATATTAATAATTATTTGAATTGGTCCACCTATACAAATAACTTCTTATCTAATTGATGTATTGGAGACACTAATTTGATTCAAATTTCTACTCTTTTAACATTATTCCTACATGGATTAACATTATAATCATTGATTGACATGTGTTAAAAATTATTGTCTTTCAAAGCTATAGCATTGGAGATGCTCTAAAGTAACGAATGACTCCATTTTGCCGTTGAGCATCCGATTGCTTGGTTTATGGAGTCATCCATAGGTACTCACAAATGGTGTATTGACACGTGTACTGCAATAATTGCACATTGAACATGCGTCAGTACATAAAGTAACGAATAGCTCCATAAGAGAGCCATTCGAGGGCTGCATAGAATTTATGTTATGAATAATTAATCTGTGTTTGAAATTGAAGATGATAGGACAATAGATGTGTATGATCATACAAGGTAATAGGAGAAAAACATTGGATTTTTTTACGTAAAAAAATAAATAAATAAATAAATAAATAAGTTCTGGACAAAAAAATACAGAAAAAAGGGTAGTAGAACAAAATAAAAAGCACGTATTTTGTAAATACGTTTTCTGCACAATTTAATTGTAAAACGTATTTAGTGAATACGTTTTCTTTTATAAAAAAAAAAAATTGTAAAATGTATACACAAAATACGTTTTACAATAAAATTGTAAAGAAAACGTATTTTGTAAATACGTGGTTTTTATATTGAGTAATGCTATATGTACATAATATTGTACATAGGGGTGTACATAACACTCACATTGAATGGGACCCACCAAAAATTAAAAATTAAATGAACCCCACTTCATGTGGGTGTTATGTACAACTCTATGTACATTTATTATATAAACATAGCATTACTCTTTTATGTTAGTCCACTCTCCCCCCTTTTTTTTTTTGTTTTTTGTCCACTTGTTTTTGTTAATATCTATATATATAAAAAGATTTACTATTTTATAAATTTAGCAAGTTTTTCCCGCCAAATCATTAATTATATCCTATATATAGTAATTTTTGGGTAATTGTGAATAAGCAAAAAAAAAAGGCTCTTTAATTGTTGGTTCCGTAATTTTAGCTTCAAAATCGGTTGCAACTTGGTTTCCTTAATTATAGCTCTTTAATTATTGTTGCGAAATTTATGCCAAAGAGTTTAAAATAGGAATATTTCTCATGCTTGGATACAAAATTATCTCAAAAAAATCCAAACATTTTTAATTCAACTACTTTTTTAACTCAACTTTAACTTAACCCCACTATCATCAATATTATCAATATAATTAAATAATATCAAATCAATCATTCTTACACACCACATTTCCTTAATTCACTATTCATCTACTCACATAATTTTAACTAACCATCACTTCAAATCTCTTCTCTCTCACTTTACATCACATCAACTTTAATCATTTAATTTTAAATATTATTTTAATATATCCACTAATAACTAACCATACAAACTTTTTCAAAACTAACCAAACAAACAAATCCAAACAAAATAAAAAAATTTTATATCCAATCATCCTCACTGTTCAAAATGCAACAATATCGTCCAAGCGGATACATTCTAATGCAACATTTCTATCTTACAAAAAATCTGTAAATTAATACCGTCAACTAAGATTTTAAGTAAGTTGAATCTTCCAAACAATGTGAAATCACGATAGATTTAAAAAAAACTATAACAATTTAATCTTCCAACCGGTTATACATATTTTTTTTAATTTTTTTTATTTAAAAATATGTAATTTTTTTATTAAAAGATGATTAAATTCTTTTTTAAAATAAGTTAAATGCATATTATTTATACCATATTTACAACAAATCACGTGTGAATTGAGGAGAGATCTTTAGTCAAACTAAATAAGAGTTTTCCTTTCTTCAAAGTCTTTAAAACTCATCCAAATCAAACAATATATTTTATTCCTGTTGTAATCTATATATTCCATTCTTCTATCTCAGAATGTCCTACGCAAGCTGTAAGGTTTTTTTTTGTCGTCATACATTCTCTTCATCATATTTATAAGTTTCTATCATTAATTGAAAAGCCTAAAATATTGGCTTTTGTTCCATACACCATTAAAGATCGTACAAAAAATGCTCATTAACGTATACCCGCCTAAAAAATCTCAAGGTAATTTTACAGAATCCCATCGCATAAATATCGGCTTTTGGTTCCATACACATTAAAGACTACAAAAAACCTATTAATGTATATCAGCCTAAAAAAATCTCATGGTAATCTTACAGAATACCATCGCTCGGTAAATTTAAGAAATCTCATCTCTTAGGTATCTACTCTAACATATTTTTTTAACAAAATTATGTAACATAATTTTTTTTAACGAGAATAAGATTTATCACATATTTCTCCTCCAAAAATATTAAATGCACATAATAAAAAGTTAATAAAAAAAAATGCAGATTTAAATATTGTCTTCAATATTTGTATTAATGTCACTTATATATAAAATTCCATTTTATTTGTTACAATTTAAATTAATCTTGATATGTATTTGTAAAATTAATAAATCTGCATAAAGCGTGAAATTGTTATGCGGACAATTTTTTTTAAACGGTAACAACTTATAAAAAAATAATAAGAAATACCGTCATAATTCTCGGTATAATTTCATTATTTATTTTATATATAAGTGGTAAATTTTCTCCCATTAATTTATAATGTTTTTATTTAGGCTTATGATATTGTATATACTTTTATATAATATTTTATCATGTCATATTATATCTATATATACATATACACGTATATATATATGCATATTAAATTTAAATATTTTTAAACATGTTTTCTTTACAACAGAGTTTAGAAAACATCTTTCATAAAATATAAAATTTAAATGTTTTTAAACATGTTTTCTTTCCAAAATAGTTTAAAAAATTGTAGGTGACTTCACATCTTTTAATAATAATACATAAACTTTTACATACTTTTACATGTTTTTAGTATTTTAAACATGCAAACTCTATGTTCTCTTATACAAGTTAATTATATTGTTGATAATAAACTGATATACGACGGTCAATTATATCATATGTTAACCCCACCACTCGAACTCGAGACCTATTTATAATTATTAAACTGATATACGGCGGTAAATTATATCACATGTTAACCCCACATCTTTAATTTATATTTTTTTTTTTGCTCTTTTAAAATAAGATAATGATTCTCCACCACTCGAACTCGAGACCTATTTATAATTATTATTTAATATAATTACTCGTGCATCGCACGGTGCTACGCACTAGTTATTATAAACATGTAACACCGCATATTAAAAAGATTCATCCCTTTTTTTAATTAAAAA